TTTGCAGATAAGGAACACACTTTTGTGGAAATCTATCTGAAAATAGGTTCTGCTTTGCAGGAAAGATAAAATATGAAACTCTAGCTACCAGTAGTTTTGTTTTCAAAGAGTGTGGTTTTCTTCAGACCATCTATCTCAAAAACATGCACTGCTGTGCTGCTATGCAGCCTAGTACAAGGGATTTTCCAATCACTGTCTACAAATTAATATAAACAAACCTCATTTTGCAAAGTTCATATGCAGAAAAAAAAATCCCAAGGTGTTTATGTGACCTCTTTTTTTCTTAAAATGGAAATCAGTGGGATTTTTCTGTGCTGAAGACTGTTTCAGAGAGGCATGGCAGTGATACAGAGAGGATTTAATGTACATTAAAACTCCGGATGCAAGATGTTCTGCTCTCCAGCAGAGGGACTTCCACAGCCTGCTTGAAACGTTTTCTGCTTTTGTGACAGACATGCTCAGTGCACACACAGCCTGTGTGCCACAGGGATATCTGAGCTCATCGATGGAATGTAATCCTTTGTTACGCTGAGGTGAAGATGTGGAGAACGATAGGATGGCAGGGAAACATCATTGCATAGCAGTGATACCTGTGACTCCAAATCTTGCTTACTTTACACAAGTGAACATCTTTGCTCACTGTGTCTGTACCGTGGCAGGACTGAGCGTTTTCCACTGCAGGGTGAAACCCTTGACCATGCCTGCTACAGAAATTTCAGGTGCCAGCACAGAGGTTCCAGCAAAATGGATGAGGAGTTATTTACTGGGGCAACTGTGGACCTTGTTTATTGTACTTTATAAACCTCTCAAAGTGGTTAAATTCTACTGTTCTCTGTCCACATAGATGGCTACAAAAGACAGTTTCTTGCTTTCGTTTCCATATAAAGGCCAAATACAGATGGACTTTTACTGTCTGTAATGTTATTCACACACTTCTTTTCTAAGATATAACTTGCTTTACATTCTGTAACATTTCTCCATTCCTTGTAACTTTTTGTGAACAATGTCATACCTTTATAGAATGAGAATCACTTAGGCTGAAAAATGCCTTTAACCCAGCACTGAAAAGCCCCCTACTAAACCATATCCCCAGGTGCTACATCTACATGTCTTTTAAATACCTCCAAGGATGGTAGAATGGACTCTTCCACTTCCCAGGGCAGCCTGTTCTGCTGCTTGACAACTCTTTCCGTGAAGAAATTTTTGTCTATATAAGCACATGGCATCCTACTGTGTGTGTCAAAGTGTTAAAGCAGGTCACTGACCATTACCCTGTGTATAATGGGGCCTTCATTCTGCTCCCTGTGTCCATCTTCCAGCTCAGGGCGTGGTACCTGGAGAACAGCTGGTCCTACTATTGAACACTGAGGCAAAGAAGGCGTTAAGTACCTCAGCTTTTTCCTCATCTTTTGTCATTATGTTCTTTCTGCCATCCAAAAAGAGGATGGAGATTCTCCTCAGACTTCCTTTGGCTGCTAATGCATCTAGAGAAACATTTCTTTTTTTGTCTTTTATGATAGTAGACAGATTAAGTGCTAGTCAGGATTTGGCCCTTCTAATTTTCTCCTTCCATGACACCCTTGTCCTCCTGAGTTGCCTGTCCCTTCTTCCAACTTTCATAAACTCTCTCTTTTCCCGAGTCCCAGCAAAAGCCTGTTCAGACAGTTGGTCATCTTCCTTGCTGGTTTGTCTTTTGGCACTTGAGGATGGCCTGCTTCTGCATGTTTAACATTTCCTTCTTTCCTTCCTTCCTTCTTTCCTTTACAAGACAATGCACCCTATCTAGAATACTTCTCTGCTACTCGTACCCCTCTCTGTAGGATATTTTTATTTAGATATGCATTTAGGAAATACAGCTATGTGGCACTTTTGTTGCTCAAAAATATTCTATGCTTCTGCCATTATTACAGTTCCAAGCCCCCCACCTGACTTCCTCTGCTACTTCCTTAATTTCTTAAACTTTGTCCTTTCACAATCAGTAACTTCAGTTCCAGGATAAACTTACATTTATCTTTCAGTTTAAATTGAGACAATTTGTGACTTCACCCAAGGTTGCTTTGTGCAACCAACACTTTCCAAATGCCCTCACCGTTTCCCAGAACTAAGGACAGAAGGCAGGCTCTCAATCTGGCTCAGTATTTTGCCTCTACACTACAGAATTTTTAGTGTTCTCCATCAGAGACCAGCCACATAATTTATCTCTGCTCATAAGCCATTTCTTCTTATGTTTAGGTGGTCCCTCTACTGCTTCCCATCAATATACCATAGATATAGTCTGTGAATACTAACTGATTAATCTTCACCATTCCATCAATAAGAAAACAAGAAATAACAAAATAAGGCATAGGGGAGTTAAATGACAATAGTTGCATAATTACCTAATATATGATTGGAATTATAATATAGGTTTCCTTAGATCTATTTTTAATTACTAAGCATAGTCACCACTTCTTTGACTAATTGTACTAAAAATGGTGGGTTTTGAAAACTCAGCTGCAAATTTGTCCTTTTTTTTTTTTCAAATTAAGCATTTTGAAAACCACAAGTCTGGGATCCATGAAGATTTGAGAAAACCAATTAACAGTAATCTGCCCTTTCCCAGATCTTATATTCCTGTTTGAATGTTAGCTGTGCCCATCTGATGAACAAAGAGGGGAATAACACAATACGTCATCTTAATCTTTTGGAAAGTCTAATTTGCTCATTATGATACTGTTAAGGAAAGCAGTATCAATACAATCAATAACCACAGCATGCAAAAATAGAAACCCTCTATGCCACAATCCAGCTGACTGAGAATGGGTTAACAGCCCAGCTGTTGGAAACACATTTCACCTGTCATCCATTATTTGCACGTTAAGATAGAATAGGTGTTGAAAGAACAATCAATGTTTGTATCTCTAAGGAGATGGGACTTTTGTCATTCCTCTGAAATCAGGGTCAAAACCACACCTTTAAAAGTTATGCTATCATAGTAAATGGCAACATATAGATGGGCAGTAAGACATTGTCAGCTGGAAGGGAAGACTTAGGGGGAGAAAGCTTGTACTAGTTTTTCTTGTTTTTCATGAAGTCATGACCGTACCGTACATTATTCAATTAACAAGATCACCCTCCTACAGTCACTTGAAAATTCCTCTTATCATCTTTGTTCCTTTCTTCTGTATGAATTGAGGTGGATTTTTCCCTCCACAGTTTCAGTGAACCCTGGCTGCAGCTTCTAAGAGGCTCATTATCTCTTCTATCACATCAGCTTCTGCTTTCAAGGCTTATTGTTTAGTTCTTAGTATAAACTGACAGGCTAAAATCCCTTCAAAACACCCAAGGTGCCTTTGCCACTGAGTAAACAGCAAAGCATCAGTAGTGCTGTAATACCCATTTAATCAAAAATATATACTACATGAACACTGGGACACTGAAAACCTTTGGAAGTACAATTACCCTAATTTCTTCCTTAGATGAAGGAACACTTGATGTGTTATTTAAATGGGCCATCATTTTGAATCTCCATTATAGATTTGATTTGCTTCTGTAAAATATGCTTTAGAAATGTGCAGGTTTCTCTCAGTCTTCATGTCTGGCAGCATTCAGAAGTAATACAATCATAGCAGTTCATGCAGGTTACAGAGCTGTAACCTGTACAGACTTGGCTATCCAAATATAATCTTCCTAACAAGTTGCTGGCTGTCTGGAGTGAGTAAATCAACCTTACTCTTGTGGTCTTTGCTTTGGTCGAGACATTATTGGAGCAACTCACCAAGAGACAAACACAAATACATGATTATTGCAAAGCACTCCTCAGGGAGATTTCCACTCGAACCTCAGAGACATTCAATAATATTTTGGGGACTAAGCTCCTGAAAGCCAGACAAAAATTCTCCATCAAAATAAGGGTGCCTGTGTGTGCATACACATATGCATGTGCACCTAAATCCATCTGTGCTCCTGCCTCCTTGTGCACATACACCCCACACATGCACACCAGTGATGCAGTGCTACAGTGCTTTGACAGAAGCCATTCACATGATGTTTAAGCAAAACCTCTTCTTTCAATTGCTACTCTCAGCTAGTTCTGTCAATCTAATAATACAGGTCTGTGCAGCAAAATGTTACAATATCAGTATTAGCATATAAAATAAAGGTAAGTATAGGTTTCCCATGTCTTTATTTCTTTTCCATTTTCTCTCTATTGGAGAAATTTGCCAAAGCCAAACACTTTCATTTTTTTCCTATATGGCAGTTTTGTTTCTGATGATGACAAAAGAAGTATCTCTGTTTAAGATAAAAGGAGATGTTGCTCCTTTGATTTGGTTGGTTTTTTTGTTTGTTTTTTGGTTTTTTTTTTAATTCCTAACAGTGTACAATAAATATAACTACAGTGGACTATTTAATAGTCCTGTAAGCATTACATGGTCTATAGCTGAAGAGAGTCTAGCTGCCTCAACTAAACAAAATCACTTGCTGTAAGAGCAGTTTTCAGGCCAGTGATAAATCACAGTGTAATACAATCATGCATTAAGCTCCAACCAGATGTGAGACTGGCACAAATATTAAAGTACAACTGGGCAGAAGTCAAGTATGTACAAGTCATTGACAACATTGGTGTAAGTGCTCTAGACAAGACATTTAAAAGAAATTTACATATAAACATAGATTAAATTTATCAAATTTTGATAAATTTTAAGACAGTAAAAAAGTACAGAAAGCATGAAAAAATAAAAAACCCAGCCAGTTCATACTGTACAGTTTTACTACATTTATATTACAGAATGAAGACAGAAAAAGATACAAGGAATTAAGAGCAAAGAAAATTCTGCTGGCTGCGGCCAGTGGAATTTCATTGCCAATGAGAGATGCGCACACACAGATGCACGCACACGCACAGAAAACAAAGACATAAACCAAAAGAACCGTTTACTGTAACAAATGACAGACAGAGAGGTGGAGCATTTGGCATGTTGCAGCACATGGAGTCATTCCCGATTGGCTAACGACGGTACCTGGCTGGGCTGGAGCTCGCCGGGCTGCCTGAGTGGCGCCACTGATGGAGGAGGCACTCCCGACGTGGACGCGGAGCGGCCCAGCCGGCAGCTGGACTTGGACTCTGCAAAGGGAGAGAGAGAGAGAAACTCCAGTGAGCAGGGGCAGGTACTGCTGCAGCAAGCTGAAACACTGCGGATCCAGGATTCCTTTGGAATGGAGACTCCAGCCTTGGCAACAAGTTAAAGTCTTGGACATACGGATGAGTCAAGAGCAGAAGTGGAGATCAGAAGAGGGATTCAGACAGGACTCATGCCATGTCCTGGCCTCTTTGCTCAGGCATCTCTGAAGGATAGAGCACACAACAGCAGACAGGAAGAATACAAAAGAAGCATTCCTGTTTCCCCACTCCCCTGCTCCGCAGCGCCTTTTCTACTCCTCATGTAATACAGCAGTGATTAAGGGAGGTACAGAAGCTTCTGGTTTCACCTCTCCATCCCAGAGCTGAGGGACATGACAGCCTAAAGACTGACTGTGCTGAAGGAAAGCATGAAATGCCAGAAAATGAAGGAGGAGGTATGTAAAAGTGGTGAGGATACTCTTATGCTTGGGGATTTGGAATGACACCAAAAATACTTGGGAATCTCATGTCAGTGGCAACGAAGTAAGAAGAAGAGACAAATCAAAACATCAGCAGTGGCAAAGTCAGTTGCCCAGAATCAAGATGATAACAGAAGCAATGTTTGCCTTGAGAGAAAGCTCCATTTCAGAGAAGAACTTCACAAAAATGACACAGTTATTTGATTTTCCTTCTGCTGCTTTATATGGAGTAATTTCTGAGAAGGTTCCCCATTGATTTCCAGCACAGGTTACTATTGTGCACACTGACATGAGGTGACCATGCAGTTCAGAAGGCCTGGATGAAAGTTTTTATATCTAAGTCATGCTGACACCCATGTACTACCCCAGCATTCAGCTGGTCCGGGGGAAAATGTCTTTTCCCGAAAAAGGGATCCGCCTGTTTCTGCCCAAGACATTTTTTAGTCCTTACATTTCCTTTATATGGCTGAGGAAGCACCTCTCAGCCTATGGCTCTGCTCAGATCAATGTGTTCATTCTCCTCATGTTTCATAAAACTTCTTCCCAACCCTGCACCTGTTTTTCGTATTTAGTGGGCAAACACTGAAAACATTTGGATCACCAGACAGATTTGGTACAATAACAAAGTCTCACTCTCACATTGACAGTGCTGCTTTACCAAGAATAACATGTAATTACATCATTCTTCATTACAATGTAAAGAATTTTGAGTTTTTTAAATAAGGTTTGAAGAATTCCTCCTATTCAATTCTATGTTTTAAAGAAGAAAGAAAGGACCTATGCCTCATGCAGTTGCGGTTTAGCAAGTTTGTCTCTGAAGCACATCTTTTGCCTGTGTCTGTCTACCATTTATTTTGTCATTCCTCCTTTATACAGCTGCTTTTTCTGCATTTGTTTTACACTGATTTCTCTATTTCCTGTGTGGATCTCTAGTATCACCACTGGCCACTGGGTGGGCCACAGCTTGAAAGGAAGAAGATGCTTATTGCCAGCACGACCTTTAAGTCACTTGGCACACCTTGGAAACTTGAGGACAGCTGGCACATTACTCCACATACCAGCAACATGCTGAAATGGATTCTTCCACTCTCACTGATGCTTTCTCATTGTCACCTTCAATGCTTATTTTCTTCAGATATTTCAGAATTCAATAGGGCATGGAGGAGAGCTATCCACTTATGCTGGAGCACTTAGACCAATGAAAGCATCTGTATGGGTGAATATTCATCAACTAAATATTAATAGGTTAGTTAACATCCAGCTGGCTGAGCAGCAAAAATATTTATGCTGCTCGCCGAATGCATTATTCAATTCACTCTGTCCTAGGCAGTCTGTAAACACACCACGAGTCAGCACAGCCATAGGCACACAGAAAGGAGCAGACTGGCCTCCTCCATAACCTTGCTTTTGTACATAGTCTGCTGGTTTGCTTTTCTTGGACTTGTGCAGTTACTCTGAAGGTTGATTAGGTTTGTTTTTGTTCTGATTTTACACAGCCTGCGTGCCAGATTTCTGACTGTTCCTTTCAGTAATATAGATATAATAATGGATCTCATTATTATATCTCATCTCTCATCTCCTGGAATTCTGCTGGGGTTTCTGAAAGGACAAGAACTGGGTTTTTTTCAGTTGTTTTTCTGTACTGCTAAGTAAAGATTCTGTTTCTGCTGTGACAAGCAGAATCAGACACTCAGCACATTAAAAACTCCAAGACACTGTCTGACTATGCCTCTGAATTATTTTCTTTGCTTTAGGAAAGCAGAAAGAAGTGTCATAATTTCCAATTTGGATCTATGAGCAGCAGCAAGAGATTACCATTTCCTTGGCAAAGAGACTCCTTTCATCTGGCATCAAAGAAATAAAACCTATCACACACAGATGAAGTATTAGTTCCTTTATCTCCCTGTAATATATGTTCCAGTATTAAGGAAACTATTGTGATTTTCATGGTGATCCTCACCAAAAGGTGCTTCAGACATGGCTCCATCTAGCTTTTTTTGTCTCAGTGGCAATATTTTTAGACCAAATAAATACTGTATTCTACTGCAATTAGTGGTCTGAGTAACAGCCCACTACTTTGGGGGAGAAATAGTCCACAAAAAGTCTGTTCTTTAAGTGCTGCACAACGCACTGCTCTGTATTCTGTTATAAAATGTTATTTTTCAGCTATTGGCAGCTTATTCACTCTGCTGGGGCTATCTGGGTTTTCCTATTTGCTGCCAAGAATCTTAAAGGAAAAACTACTGCTAGCAAATATCAGGGATGGTTTCTAGCATTTAGATATTCATGTTTATCTCTTGTGGATGATACTGAGACAACTCAGTATTAACATCTGAAATGAGTAGTCTTGGACTTGAGAAGTCCCCTCAGTGACAGTAATTCATGGTGTGGACCCAAGTTCTATCAGCCATCCTGACAGGCACATGGGGAAGGCTCTCTAGGCTGGGGGATGCAGGGCATGTGAGCATCCTTTGGAGGTGCCATCAGTGGGCAGCATGAGGTCTGAATTCAGCAGATTCTTGGGGATAGCCAGAAGGCTGTGAAATATTGTGCACAAAAATGTTCATGAAACTCACTTGGTGTATTTGAAAATTTAGCGGTATTATTTTGCACAGCTTCAAATGTTGCATCTCTCACAGTGACATGGTATGAAAAATGCACTGCAGGTCTCTGGGAGCCAGGTGCAGTGCAGGGCTGGGAGGGCACAGGGGGCCAGTGTGCTTCAGTCCCCTGTTATGGCACCCACAGTGGCCACAACACTGATCACAGCCCCCTGACACCAAACCCCCAGACAAAATCAGCTGCAATGGGCTGAACATCACTGCCCTCTCGGGTTTAAACTCAGTCTTGACAGCACCAGGAGGGTAAGACATGGAACCAGGCAAGCATTTAGTTCCAAAGGGCAGCATTAAGGATGAGAATTTTAAGAGAGACTGTGCAGCACAGAAATACAGGCTTTCCAAACACAAAGAGGATTGCCTTAAAGTTGTGTATTTAATTATGTGTCTAAGCAGTCATATAAATGGCTGGTTTTCCAAAACTGCAGGGGCTGCCAGCATGACTAAAGATGTAGAGGCTTGGCTGATTGTATTTGGGACATGGGGTGTTGTAGGATTTTCCTCAATAATGCACAGTGCTGAAATGCCACAAGATTTTATGGAAATATTTTCAATCAGTTTTATACCAACATGCAATGGCTTTATATATTCTCCAGAAGTACAACAACTCTTCATGATTTTTATTTTTGGATCTTAATGGGAAGAGTTCTTTATTCATCCAAGGAAGCCTTCATTCTGCCTATCCTAATCTTAATTCAAAAAAATGCTCTGGCTGTCACTTACATTGGAGAAGCTTCTTATCCTGTCACAGTCTCTTCTTTGCACATGAAAAGAGAAATATTGCTTATTTGCTACAGCTGCCAAGAAATGCGTTTTGAATTAAACAAGGCAATGTGACAGGCTGGGAGCAATCACATAAAAAATAAAAAAAAAAGAAGAAAAAGGAGAGAAAAAAAGCATATATACTGGAAAAATACATCACACCAAGTGTCTTCATACTGGCCTAAAAAGAGATGAGTAAGCTGAAATACAACTTGAAGTTATGAAACATTATGGTGCAATAAACTATATAGTATTATGCTATCTAAACAAAGCATTTAGTACTTTGCTATTGGCAGAAGCCAATTAGTGCTAAAATATCACAGCAGCACATCAAACTCAACATTTATCACAAGGGGAGTGCTGAACCTGTGGAACTCAATGTTGCCAGATATCCATAGGTCAAAAATTTAGCAACTCTCAAACCCAAGTCAGGTAATGAGCAAAACCATGTCTGAAAAGGAATCCCCTGTTTAAGTTTAGGGGATATTTTGCCCAAAGAGAAAAGCTGTTAGTGGAATATACTTTGTGTCCTGAAATGTGGGTGTTTATTTTCTTTGTAAAGCTTTTGTTGTAGAATTTGGCTGTGTTTGTTTGCTATTTCTTGGCTTCTTTGGAATACAAGTGTTTGGTATCTTTGTTCAGGTTTTTTGTGTGTGTTTTTCTTACACCAAGGAAATATTTTTACTCCAGCCAGAATTGGTGTGATCCCACATCCTGGAGGTCTCACAGCAGGACCATGGGCATTGGTGGGATGCCCTCAGTGTGCAGCTCCCAGTACTGCTCGTTTCATTGCAGGTGACAGGCACTGCTCAGGGGAGCTTGTGAGCAGAGAGCAGAGTGACCAGTGCAGGCAAGGTCTGGGCCACTTGGGCAGTAACCAAAAACCCCAGCATTAAGTTGCCTTCATGTGGAAAATCCTTGTGGGTTTAGGAGCACAGTGGTACTGCCTGTGAGGAGAAAATGTAGGGGTTTGTGGCACAGACCTGGCTGGCAGGAACTGACTTTTTGCTGCTATTCCCTTCTTACACCAATGGAAGTATCCTGTGCCTTGGACTTACCAGACTTTGCCCCATTCCAAAAGAGATGAACTTAAAATAGTCATTGCTTTTGGGAATCAACAATGATGGCCAGTAATTCCAATGAATGGTGGGTTTTTCCTCCCTTCCTGATTACCTACAATCTTTTCAGATGGCATATTTATGGCTGGCTGAGTGACAAGCTGGTGGCAATTCAAAACCAGGATGTGACAGTTTCTGAGATTTTAAAGGCAGGGCAGTGCCAGTCTCCAGCAGCAGGTGGCAATGCAAAATGCTTCTTCATTGCTGTTAGGAGAAAAGCAGCAACATTCCAGAAAATACTCTTCAAGTCTCCTGGAGTGAAGTTATACAGATTCTGTTTTACAGATTGTGTTTGGCTGTTCATTATAATTGCACTGACTTTGCTAAAAGTCAGCATGCCCCCAAATCACACTGCTTTCCATAAGAAATTATAGGATGCCAAGAAAGAGAAAGTGCCCTTGACAAATTCTGTCACAGAACAATCAGGCATTAGAGACAGTGATAACTGTGTGCAGCTGACAGCCCAGGCTCTTTGAGCAAAATGGACAGAAAGCTCAAGATTCTGTTTGGAGATGGCTCATTCTCCCTCTGATCTTACTAGCAGTTTCAGAGTTGGGGAGAACCCACCAAAACCCAGTGTTCTCACTCAGGTATTTGCCCAGGGCTCCCCAGTTCCCAGCTCACCTATACTGAAGGAGAGCTGTCTGATGAGCACATGTGGGAAATCCATTCCACCCTTTCTCTTTTGCAGCAGAGCAATTCAACCCCATTAAAAAAATTTATTTCAATATTGCCCTAATAAATGGCTGTACCAGTGTGAACTAGGAGGCAGGTACCAAACTGTGGTGTTTCAAGGACATGTCTGCACAAAAAAAAGAAAAAGGGAAAAAAGAAGTAGCCTTTTTTCTGTTATCTATGATGTTGCAAAGAGAGTAGCAGCAGTGATGACTGTACTGGGAACTGCCTAGATTTTATTTGAGGTAAATCTAAGTTCTAATTCCTAGTGCAGAATTACTTTATCTCCTTGACTCCAGAAAGCATTTGTATTCATATGAAAATATGAAATCTCTCTTCTTGCATTCTGCTACAGTTTTAATTTAATTGCAGAGAATGGGCTGTTACTGTTCATGTACAAGTTCATTGAGGACAACTGTGTACAGCATTCTCAATGCAGTGCCCCACCTAGTAAAGGTAAAACATGTTGCTCAGGCAACAGCAAGAGACACAGGGGAAAAAATATTCAGGGCAGATGAAAGGCCTGAAATATCATAAATCTTCAGGGAAAGAAAAGTCATAATCAGCTCTCAGATTTTAATCATAGAAAGGAGTCAAAATTCAGCCAAGAAAATAAAATTTTTCTTTGACAGTCCTAGCAATGTAAGACAAAGTCACAGTTAACTAAATCAAGGCATGATTCAACAACTATTACAGTTTGCTGATGCCAAATGGAGACTGAGGCCAACATGTTTTGTCTGCTTTTGGAGATCAACCAACTCTTTACAATAAAACTGCTGCAGAAATGTTGGACAGCAGTGTTATATTTTGCTGAGAGCTTACGCTTCAATTTTAACTTCTTTTCTACTCTGGTCCATAGTGTCATCTTGCAGAACTGGAGAGATAGTTACACACCTTTGGTCTAATTTTCAGATATCCCACTTTGACGTGGTAGCTCTAAACCCATCCTTTAACCTGCAGGAGCACAGATGACAGTCTAAGACACTGGGAAGAGAATCTTTACCAAAAGCTATGAGCTTATCTGGAAAATTCCCACCTTCCAGGAAGCTTTGTAAGAAGAGACAAGTAAGCAAATGGCCGTAGCACAAAAAAGACCTGTGCTATTGTCATAAGTTTTGCAGAAAAGTCGCTTTCACTGCAGCAGGAAGGACTGTTTGGCGGGTCTGTAGCAAGCAAAGCTGGACTACATGATTGCTGCAAATGACATTTCACATCAGCAAAGACTCTGAAACTTATACACTGAGTTTCAGGTGTCATTTTCAGCAGTTCAGGGACAATGTGAGTCCCATTATCACACAGGGAAGCGATGTTCTGGGTGAGGTGTGAGCATCTCTGCTCACTCAGCAGTGTAAACACTCCCTGCTGCCACTCACTGCCCAGCAGATCTCCCAGGCAGGAATGATTTCTTGTCTGAGCAGCTCATTCCTGCTCTTATACTTACAGAACACTGACCATGAGGCTTCAGTACTAGACATGCCAACTGTCCTTAAAGGGGTTATTTCTCACAGTCCAACAAATAAGCAATGAAGTTACTCTTTTATGAGAGCTGTCAAATCTCTAAAGTACCAATACAGTACTTGTGCAAAGGGCCATAGATATCTCTTTATAGATGTCTATTAATTTATCAGTTCCATTTGTCTTAGTCAATTTATAAACAATACTGCATTTTAATGCTATGGTTTATGGTAATTTACTATTTAATATGTAAATATTTTTTAATAATAAAATGAATAGGTGTTTATCTGAGACTTCTGAAATCCATAGTCACTTTTCTAGAAATTTCTGTACAAGCAGAAAGGAAAAGCTGCCTTTGTCCTGTCACTGTGCCCCTCAGTAAGACAGCCTTGCTTTTGCAAAGTGTATTTTTGTTACTTTAGCTGATACCTGAATTTATGAACTTCCTGAAGTGCCATCCTAGGAGAGTCTTTGCCTTTTCAATGTCAGATGGAATCCTTTACTTCTTTTTAAGTGGATGACTAACACTTATGTGCTTCTACTCCATGCCACCATCTCAGCTGTTCCAGCACTGAGCAAAAGCACAGCACAAGCCTTATTAGTGCAGCAGTCATTGTGCAGGGCCAAATCTAGAAGATATTTGGAAGTCCAAAGAATCTGGATGCTTCCTACACCAGTGTGTCTTTAGAGACTCTTCATCTCACAGGGAGATTCATGAGATCTTCCCTGTGCTTGACATACCTGAGCTGTTGCCTCCAGCCAGCATGGTTGGGCTGACAGAGGATCTCCCCAGCCTGCTGGACACCATGGGGGGGCCTGGTGTTCCATCCCATTCCTGAGCTTTCCCTGGCTCCCTGGAGGAAGTCCCATGATGTCCTCTCTCTTTGTTTTCCAGCTTTGGTAGTGGTTCAGTGCTGTGGCTTCTGATCTTCAGCTCATCTAGTGGTTCTACAAAATACACAAGAGCACATTTCATTACAGAGTAACTGCTAATCATCCATATCATGCAATACTATTTTGCAAAATACTCCATACCTATCAATTATAAATCCTTGAAGGGCAGTTTATAGCATGGTTTTACCATCTAGGCCAAAACCATAGGTTCCAGTACACTTTTAATTATTAAAAGCACACACCATAAGCAGATGGATAAAATGTAACATTTCTGTTATGGTTTTCATACACCAGGAAAATAATTTGGAAAATGGATCCTTACCAAATTGTGGTTTATTAAAAATTTATAGAAATATTTGAAATCTTTTCAGCTGTCATTTCATTAGGAACAAGTTCTTCTTCAGGCACTTTCTAAGGAAGCTCTCTCCTAAGGCAATATTGTGCAAGCAACATATCTGTACTTCTCATAAGCTCTAATAAAAGCACACAATCCACAAAACAAAACAGCACAAATCCATTTTGGTTGTGCCCAGCACCATAACTTAGGGAATGAAATTGCGCTTGGTTGAAAAAGCCTTGGAGTCAGAAAATTACTTTCTGTTTGCAACACCACAAGTCAATGAAAAGAGGAGCAATTCAAAACACAGCTGAATGACTTTTTCAAGTGAAGCAGTGATGTCTGCTTTCTTCATGGCTGGTGATTTTCTGTTCTTTTCTCAAGACCTCAGTTTCTTTTCTTGCAGGTTGAGCAATGCATGAAGAATGAATTCCTGCTCTTTCCCATCTGTAGCTATGAAAAATTCACATGGAAAACTAGATACAGAAGAAACATTAGACTGATTTTTAATAGTAAGAGCTAATTACTATGCTACTCAGTTATTAAAAGCTGATGTTTACCTCATTAAAAAAAATATCAGTTTGGAATTTTATATCTCAAACCAAAAGAGATCCTTACATGATACACTCAGTTCTAGTCACACAGATTTATTAATCCACCCCCTGATGTACCTTAATTTCTGTATGTATCTACAGTCTTGGAATCCACATTTGATAGAGATAACAGTCTTCCCTTGAGCTCTATGTCAAAAAGTTTTAGTGGCTTCAAGGGACTTTGGAAGATTTGAGAGAGCCAAGCAAAGAGAAAACGCCAGGAGCCACAGAGAGGCAGGAGATGCCATCAGTTCCCTGAGGGGCCCGTGCTGAATGGCAGAGCAGGATTTACAGTCTGAGCTGCCACTTCCTCTCCCAGTCATCGCCATGGCCCTGAACTGGGACTGTTCAACCACTCTGATGATACAGTCCCCAAAAACCACATTCAAATCACTTTTATCTGCCCATGGCTCAATGCCCCACAGACTGTTACCTGTGGTACAGCAAACAGGGGAAGATGCACTGCTAGACAGCTGTGATGGGCAAAGACCCACCTATGCACAGCAGTGACAAATCCTCACCTTGTTTTGGGTCCTTTGACATTCCAGTCTGCACCTGACCTTAGTGAGCAACAACACAGTCAGCCTGGGGTTTAATCAATGAAACATCTTACATGAGACATGTAAGAATATCTAACTGGATATGTGGTGCAAGATGTAATCATTAGGTATTTTGTTAATTACAACTGGTTAACAGTAAAATTTAATGTTGAGGTTATCTTACCACAGCCTTCAAGTAGTAACACTGCATGAGAAAATGATTAAACCACCCAGGCTGGGAGTCGTAAATAGGATTCCATAAAAGTTATGTGATAAAGACCTTCAAAACTCAAACCTCTTCCATGAACCTCTAATTCACCTACCTACTTTAGTGCATGCAAAAAGACACTGCAGTGAAAATCCAAAGTGTTTGTTTTTCCTAGCTGGTAACCCCAGTGGGGTACAAGGTCGAGCAACAGTCTGTATCAATATAACGTGACATCTGCCTTTCAGGGACCTTTGCTAGGAGATGTCTGTGACTGCACAGACAGACCTGCTAATACAAAGAGCTCTGCAAAGAGAGGGAGAGCCCAAATTACTACCAGGATTAGAACTGTTTCAGTTGACAGCATCGAGCTATCAAAAATACTGATGTGTTTTCTCACATAACAGATGCATGCAATCATATGTGAATTTTTTTCTTCACACCAATAACATGCACTTCTTTAAGACAGTACTTATCTGGGAAAAGCACAGATAAAAACAAAGTTTCAAAATTCTTTGGAAATGCACACAATCCTCTTTCCCACTCGTACAGGATGGTGTCTAGATTGCAGTTTATTCTTCACATCAAAATGAAGAGAAAGCCTACTTACTTTGTAAAAACACTAGAATGTGTTTTTACAAAGTAAGAGTTGGGTCCTCCAAGTGCCCTACTAAATTAATGCATCACTCAGTAGAGTTAGTCTACTATGTCATCCAGCTGTTCCTGGAAATGCTGACTACCTTAGTGAAAACCTTCTCTGTGTGTACCTCATTGACACTCCTTGAACACCTCCCCTTGAAATTTCACACACATGCAGTCAGCCCTTGTCACAGTGGAAATGCTCTAGCTGAGTGTGTAGCTAAGGATTTATCTACTTCAGTTTACTTAACAGAGAAACATTTGTACTTGTTGCCTGATAAAAAAGATTTGTGCATTCTTAGTTGTTACTGTCAGCTGAATCAAAGCACAGCTTTTGCAACCAGCTGGAAACTGTGGAACTATTCAGACTAAATAAAGATTTGGTTTATAGTCTAATTTTTTATAAGGTGTAGAAAATCAGTTTTCAGCTGGCTGTCTAGACTTTGTAAATTTACATTCCACTATCCTTTCTTGGGGATTTTCAGTTCACAGTTTATCTGAAAAGTAATATATCCTAAAAATGAAAAGCAGATTGAAAGAGATTATAATGTCATGTAGCCTGTCACAGGGCCTGAATCATTGTTATTTGGTGATCATTATCAGTAACAATGATACACAGACAGAAAACAACATGTCAGTGTTTTATGTAGTTTTCTGTAATATTACTTTCCAGCACACTTGTAAATACAGAAAAAATGAAAAAGGAAATTATTGCCTCACTTTTACTCAAATATTTTTGTGAGAAGTTTAGAACAGTTTCAGCTTCTTTAATAAATGTCAATGGGCATCATACTCAAACTCAATTAAAATAAATTAAAAAATCACCCTGCTACTTCTTCGTTGACTGAAAGAGCACTTCAGTTCCAATGTGCCCAGGACAGCTCCAGAAATGCAGAATGCTCCTCTGCCAGGTCTCAGCCCATCCCTGGCCCATTTGTTGACTGTGCCAGCCACTTGGATGTTTTTATCAACTACTCCCTGCTGCTAATGTAGCTCCATGGAGCAAGCTAAGTGGCACAAATGATTGTGTCTTATAAGAGGACATTCTTTGCTCCACGTTTTGGCTCGTGCAGCCTGGCACAAGGGCAGAACATGTCTGTAGTTACCTGTGGGGTAGGGATCTTATTGTCCCCTGAAAAGGAACCAGGATATTTTACACAGAGTAACCCTTTATAGAAGCTGCAGCAGGACTTAAATGGCCACTTTATTGCTATTGATCCCATCCTGAAAACAGGAACTCTTACCAGTCAGATTTATCTATGTACACAAAGACACAGCTGAAAGGTAACAGTAGCTGCTGCACAGCTCTTTTTAATTTTTTTTTATTTATTTGGGAAGTGCTGAAGCATAGATTGGATCTAGGTTATCTTGTGCTGTTAAAAAACTTAATTTGGAGGTGGGAAATGCCAAAGATCAGTATTATGCTGGGAGCTCACTGAGTCATATGGTGGCCTCCAGAAAATCCTTTTGCAGTCAAGTGCCACTTTTTGAAAAGCTGAAATTATTATGGAAAGCATCTTTATTGTTCAATAACTCTCCCACCAAAATGGTACATAAAAATGTAAATTTCAAGAAATAATTCACTGCTTTAAATATTTATGGACACAGTTGGTTAAACTGCCATAAAGGCACTCAAATGTTTCAAGCACTTTCAGCTGTCATAGTATTTCAAAATGTAAAGATATGCATTTTTCTTATTTATTTCACCTGAATCTCAGACTTTTGCATTTAAAGCATAAGATGGTTAACATCTCGTATAAACTGTATATTTTACAGATAATTGGCATGTACAATCTCCCCTCTAGGAAAGGTCCCCTAATAGCTGTGCACTAGGCAAGGCTGGCACGTGAGCTGTGGTACTAGAAAACTTGGAAATGCTAAAGGAAGTGAGAAACAGAGTCATTTGTAACTTGGACCTAAGAAAACTGGAATTACAGCTACAGAAAACATCTTACCCAAAAGCTGTCATTCAAATGAGTATAACTCTGTGGCCAGTCTGCCATTCAGTTCTTAAACACAAATTAATTTCAGGTCCAGGTAGCTTCTTAGTGCAATGCTCAGTGACAAATGGCAGAACCTTTATTACTGCTTGGGGCTTGGGGGAAGAAAGAAAAGCAATTGACTTAAGGAACTTAAAATGAGGATTGCTCTCTGCCATCTCTCTCAGCTGTGAGCTGAAATGTATAAGCTAATCCATACATTATTAATTTATTCCTTTTTTTCCTTTGTGTTTATTATAAACTTAAATAAATAATATATCACTGTCGGCAGAATTCACATGCATGCAGAAGCAAATGGTCTAAAATTCAGCAGTCACCTACAGGTGCAAACAAAGTCACTCAGGACAGGGTTTAGATGTGAGCCAGAGCTCCTGGTCTCCTCCAGCCTCGAGAGATCAGCGCTCACCTGGTCTGGCCACAGGCAGGCATGGCCCTGGCTGAGGGAGCAGGGGCACAGAGCACCCCAGGGGCACACCTGGAGTGGTGCAGGTGCAGGATGAGACTGCAGCCAGCACCAGCATGTGAGGGTCAGTGCTACCTGGGACATGGCCCGGGCACAGTGTCCCTCCTGCCACTGCTGGCACCAGGGCAGCCTGTGCCTGACTGCCCCTTCCACAGGCACTGCATGGAGAGCAATACTGAACCTTCCAGAGAACCCCAGAGTTTCTTCTGCCTGCATCCCAGGGCTTTTTATTTACCTTTTGCTACACATTTAAAATTAGAGCTGCCTTTTAATGGATT